ACTTCACACTGTTTTTTGTGAGAGCCTCAAGTACTTTTACTAATTCACGAACGTTTACATATTTCCATAGTCGATCTTCTCACTATTTTTGCGGTTTTGTTAACTGACTAGGCGAATCAAGCGACAAGAGAAGGAAATTTAATTGTGTATCGAAAAATACTTCCTTTCCCAAAAGTCCGAAAAGTGAGCTATTACATGAAGGTAGATCTTGCTTTGTCAATGCGGAACAAAGCAAAATACAAATTCTTCCCAATACAACTGAATAGAATAGCTTACAAACAAGTAGAATATATTGCTATCTCTCATTATAGTTTAAAGAGAATACATGTGTGGTTTGTATTTGCTGGATAAAGGCACAGCCGATATGGCCAACAACCCTATCACTTCATTTGATTGTTTTGTTTATCTTAATAAATTACTTGGACTTTGTTACTTTGCTTTGTTTACAAACAGTCCTGTTGTCTGTGGAAGGCGAGTGATCCCCTGAGGTGTCTTGTCACAAATAGATGGGTTCTTCAGATAGACAGACAGAAAGCCCGACAGACAAACACACAAAAACAAACCTACCCGTACCCTGGCAATAAGTAAATTTGATTACTCTCAAAAGTTTGTTTCAATCCAAACCAAGTGAGCTCCACCAAAATATAATAAATAATAAAAATTGAATACCTTATCAATAAACTGATTCATAATCACAGTTTATAAACAAGTTTAAACGCACAGCTAAGCCGCTTATTTCAATTCACCTGATTCATTTAAATGACACCTACCCAGGTAAATTACAGTTTAACAGTAGGGGAGAATAAAATGTTGTTTTTTCTCCAGGCAAAATTGCGATTTTTATTTCCTTTATTTCTTTATTTAAGGTTTCTTTCACTTGCCCCCTTTTGTCTTTTTTTCCAATTTTTTTCTTACCAGGGTAAGTGAGTCCTCACCACCCACCAACGACACCCGTTAGGACTAGTCTCTATAGCTTCGCCTGTGGATGACTAGAATGTGTTTTTACAAGGAAGCCTAGTGCTTCTCTATCTAGTCACAGGTCATACTGGGGATTACCACTGATAGAGCTCTCATGGTACTTTTGGTACTGCTCTTTACTGTTGAGGATAGCCTTAACTGCTGGTGTAGTTAACATTCGCTGGAAGTAAGCATCAAGGTCTGGTAGCTTGGCTTTTAGGGTGTTCATGAGCTTGTCAGAGACCATTAAACGCTCATTCCAAGGCCAAGTGATGTAGTCGACCATGCTGGGCTGTTGACCTGTAATTTAATGAAAAAAAATTGGAGAGTAATTAACAAACTTTCCATTACAGAGTTTAATGCAGATCTTTTTAGTTAAAGACGTACTCTACTTCTTAAGAAGTTTCGAATTTCATTGAAGATTTTTAGAAACGTGTGTGATTAAACTGAAATTTTCAAGACAAACCTGAGGTTTCACTGAGAATGTAAATTATAGATGTGTGGAACGACACCAAGAAGTAATGGGTAATAGTAAAATAATACATATCTGCGTGAGCATGACATTTAAGCTATAAAGTGAGTTTTGAAATGGTTAATCGAACTGCTTTGAGCTCAGTCATCTGTGGCAGTAAATTGGATTTCTTGGTCTCATTAGAAAGAGGACTTCATCAGTTAATAAATGGTGGTTGCCCATTTCCAAAATATTTAGCCATATCCAAGAAATGAAGAAATTAATCTGGTTTCCTTTTTTTTAAACACACTGTAGGTTCATCATCTTACTAAAACTGCCTCTCTGAAACACTAGCATTTCATCATTTTGAAGGGTCTAATGTAGTATAAGAAAAATAGTACGACTCTTTAAACAAAATATTTGACTTTTTAAATTATTTCAAAGAATTCAAAAGCCATTCTTTTAATCAAAGGTAAGTACAAGTTGGCACCGTTGATATCGTATTTTAGCCAACCGTGATATATTGATGATATCGATATATTGGATTTTATTCATTTTAATTTTCAAGGTATTATAAAAGGCATGAATTGCTGGTAAATTGTTGTAAGGGTACACCCCTTCACCATAATGGGCTTCCAAGAGTCTTACCACCAAAGAATGGGGTTCCTCTTTTCTTTAGTTCTGCATCAAATAAGGTCAGGCCAGCAATGAGATTAGTAGCCGTTTCATTATCCTGTCCACCAGACCCCATGGCTTTGTAAAAGGCTGGGATAACCTGAGAATAGATTAAATAACATGAATCAAACAATGATTTTAAACAACTTGATGGAAATCCTTATCTTGTGGATCCCCTGCGACTGATGACCCCTACAATATTTTGTTGTCTAATCTCCAACCGAATGATGGAAAATTACGCAATTCAACTCGAATATACTTTTCGAACATAAGTAGTCCATAAATCTCTGCTTAAATAAAGGGCAAGGATTCCCTTCATAAATCATAAATGATTTTTCACTTTGAGAAGTTTCTTATTACATGTAACTGGAATGAGATTTGACAACATGCCGGTAAGACACAAAAATCAATTCATTCAGAATCCAAGACTTATTGGACCTTGTTTCTCATCAAGATAACAAGAGTAATAAAGTTTTTAAAAAGTGTGATACTGATACAACTGCAAATTTACAAACTTTATTGCAGAGAAATGTCTCCAGTAAGTGTTATTTACGTTGAAATGAGAAGAATTGAAATGACAAAAGGGAAGCTCTGTTTTACTGACACTGAAATGAAATACAGTAACCTTTGAAGCATAGGTTTCCATGACGACTTTATCTTTAGCCTTCTGAAATGGATCCTTTGGGTAGAGAGGTGGATCAGGATAAATCTCATCTAGGTAGTCACAGATGATGCTGGATTCAATCAGGACTTTGCCATTGTGTTCAAAGACAGGGACTTTCCCATCGGGGTGGCGTTCAAGGAGGAATTCTGGCTTTTTTTTCAAGTTGCAGTTAATTTCTTCATAACTAGAAATAACAAAAGTTGCAAGTAATTGAATTCTGAACAAGCTTATCCTTCATGTGCACTCCTCCGCATGTTTGAGCATCTGGATTATCAAAGCCTGAACAACAGTGAACTCCTGAAAGCTATCACAACTTCCGTGGTCAAATAACTCATTGGTTCACATCTTTCATGGCACATAATTATTTCATTCTGAGTAACAAATACATGTAATATTTCATTTTAATAACATATTGTACACAGTAGACCTAAATCATTCATATTTTGCAAACCTCTTAATTCTTCAATATAATACATTTATTGGCCATCTTAATGTTGGTCATTATCTTACTTGATTCCTTTGGCCTTCAGCACCAAGCGAGAGCGCTGTGCAAAAGGACAGTATTTCATGCTGAAGAGACGAACAGATCCATCCTTCAGGGGTGGTAGAGGTTGACCTGTGAGTGTAAATTAATTTAATGTACAACTACAGCACACAATATCAATATTTTTACCCAGCCTTGTAATAAAATTCAAGCCTGTGTGTTCGTCAGGGAACCCAGATTGGGGTAAGCAGGGAGGGTACAATAAACAAAACAATCATAAGCCTTATTTTATCGCTAATACTGCAAGAGTGATTTTGCACAATACTAGTATAAAGGCATCATGGGATGGAAAAAGGGGGCAAACATTGCCCTTTCCCTTCCTGCACAGTTGTGCAAAATCAGCCTAGCCCCACATAGGGCTGTAGTGGCTCTCTTTTACAATCTGTCTGTTTTCTGTCGCCACCACAGGGACAGATTGTGAAAGATATCATAGCTCTATGGTAATGTACTGTGTGTGGGAGACGTGTAGGGCTGAAAATCAGCCATGCGGTATTCTGGTGTCCTATAGCGATAAGGCTTCTGGGCGTAACTCAAGCCTACCTGCTTCAAGGTGTTTTTCCGACATCCTGGCAATGTTCTGCTGTATTAAGCTGTTGTGCGATGAAAAGGTAGGCCTATGTCGGTGGAGAAAAGTGAACGTTGATACTGGGCCTACGACCAATAATATGTCTTATCGCAAATGCAATATGCTGATTCATCTGTGTCATGTCATCGGTGATCAGCTGTACTATTGACCTTAACATTGACTTGGGCGCCCTCGCGTGGCGAAATCCGCATCACTAATAGTAATCGCCTTACTCGCTCGTCGCTTTTGCCTAGCGGAAAGCATCTTTAGAGCAGCATGTGAGCTGAGTGAGTGCATATAGTTGAATGGTATCAACTAACCATCCTGAGATCCTTGATGCAGCAGGTGAAGATAGGCCGGTTAATCTCAGTTCCAGTGCGCTCGCGTCGAAATTTGGCAAAATCAGAGACAACTGGTCCCGATTTTTTTGCAACATAGCCTGGAAACCGCCCTAAGATCGAAAAAAACCATGGTTGTAAACCTTGGGTTTTGAGATTCCCCCTGCTCTAGTAGCCAAAGTGCCTTGTTAGCCCCGAGAATATTTTCCTTGAGAAAAGCTATCAAAGGCCCACCACATTATTCACTGAATGCTCTGCCTCAGCCTGAGCGAGACTTGTGCACAAGCACATGCCAGGGGAGTAACCACGAGTGTGTCTATAATTACCTTGTCCAACAGAATATAAGCAGAGCGTTACTGATTTTCTTGTTATGCTGTTTACAGATAACTTTGGAAAACATTCCAGTGAATATGTTGATTTGAGGAGTGATTTCAATCTTTGAGGGTCCAAGTGGAACAGAGTTGATTGTTAATTTCAGTCCAAAATGTCCCGTTTATTGTTTCATTTTGTAAATAGTGTGCATACTACTAGTGTAAATATAAGAGTTTAAATCTACTTGATGGGCTCACTGGTTGTTCCTCGTATTGGAATAATTTGCGAACCTGTGGGTTAAATTTGTGGTTTGCACCTGTGGGTTACATCTGTGGTCAACGCTTTAGATTAGAATAAATTTGACTGCAAGCTTCCTTATGATTAAACATGTTTATTTGACAACTTTGTATCAAATACATCCCAGAACATTTGTAAGATATTAAGGATTACAACTCCTCAAAATGAAGATGCATCATCCTTCAAAATGATTAGTGTAGTTAACATCGAAGACGTGAAAGTACTTTGGTGTCATGCTGTGATTGCTACAGGCACAAGTATTTTCAGCAATTTAGAAAGTTCACAAATTTCCATAGTCGATCTTCACACTATTTTTGCGGTTTTGTTATTTGACTAAGTTGAGGGGCCTGAGAAAGAAACTTCATCTTATATTGAAAAATGCTTCCTTTCCTAAAATGCTCAATACTGAGCTATTACATGAAAGTAAGTCGTAGAACAAAATAGAAATTTTCCCAGTACAAGTGAATACAAAGGTAGCTTAAAGATGAGTCACAATCTCATATCAATTTTCAATTATTTAATACCCAGGAGATAGAATTTGTAAGTGGTGTGTTATAAAAATTTGTACATAAATATAAATTACTCGGCGTTTCAACATAAAATTCCTATGTTCTTTATTATACTGATGACTGTGTCACTATTGCTATTGCCCTTTATAGCAATAATGAGTATGGTCCCAGAACTGACAATGAACAGACGCGCTTCGCGTTTACTGGAGGAGTGTAGAAGGCATTGTGGGAAACTCAAGCACAGGCCATATAGACTTAACAATACAAAGTATGTATCAGGGCAAAGATATGGCTGAGCAGATGGAGCTAGGTCTGGCACCCAGAAGTGCAATGAAGTGCTATTAAAAGAGAGTATGTGACTTATTTGCTGGATAACGCAGAACCCATTTGGCCAACATTCCTATCACCTCATGTAAATGTTTTGTTTGTTTTTCTCAATAATCAATTGAACTCATTACGTTATGTGTTTTGTTTACATTTTCTTTTATCAATGTGTAATTTAAATGAGTTGTGTATTTCAATGACTATTAGCTTAACATTAATAATTGGCCCATTGAAAATTATTTTCTTTTTAAGATGACTTGGCTGAAAATAAAGCTTACAACCAGACCTGTTGTCTGTGGAAGGCGGGTGATCCACTGAGGTGTCTCGTCACACATAAGTAATTTTTATTCAAACAGACCTGTACCCTAGCAATAAGTAACTTTGATTACTCTCAAAAGTTTGGTTTAATCCAAACCAAGTGAGTTCCATTAAAAATATAATACATAATAAAAAGTGAATGCCTTACTACATTGATTCAAAATCACAGTTTATGAAAAAGGCCAATGTTTAAACACGCAGCTGTAAGCTAACTGAGCTGCTCATTGGTATTCTACTGAGTTATTAAAATGATAACAGCCGAGGTACATTACATATGTTGCATGGGTATACCAGCAAGATGTCTATGAACTGGAAGCTCAACTCCTTAATTTTAGTACTGGTAGATTAGCATACGGGTCATTCTAATATAAATTAGGGTCCAATTTTTCTGCGTGTCCCTGTCACGTCTGACATATGATTTTGTTACTCAGAACACATTTTCTAATCTCTGAGAATGATGAGTTAATGCAAATTACCAGCAAAACAAGTAGAAATAATTTGAAATAAGTTTCAGTGATATTTCCATGTCAAATTACACAGGTCAGGTGTAACAGGGTCACAAAAATCTCACACTTTTGGACCCCGAGTTTTCGAATGACCCGTACCCTAAATCATGGTGGAGAAATTATACCAACTGTAGTATGTCGTGTTTCTAGAGGTAAATGTAACATAATACAAAATCCATGTACACAAAGAGATGAGACAAGCATCATCGGTATATTTTTTCTGGGGTGGGGGCTAACCCCTTTTTGTCAGGGAAGGGAATTTCGGGAGGGGGGAGCAAAGAAGTCCTCAGCAAAGCACTGCTGAACAACAATAGGGCAGGGTAAACTTGTGTTTTTTTAAAGCAAAAATTTTGATTTTCATTTCCTTGATCTCTTGTATTTTTCATATCTTTCACCCCCCTTTCTTTGGTTTTTCTTACAAGACAACACCCATTAGAACTAGTCTCTATAGCTTTGCCTGTGGATGACTAGAATGTGTTTTCACAGGGAAGCTTTGTGCTTCTCTATCTACTCACAGGTCGAACTGGGGATTACCACTAATAAAGCTCTCAAAGAACTTTTGGTACTGCTCTTTACTGTTGAGGATAGCCTTAACTGCTGGTGTGGTCAACATCCGCTGGAAGTAAGCATCAAGGTCTGGTAGCTTGGCTTTTAGGGTGTTCATGAGCTTGTCAGAGACCATTAAACGCTCATTCCAAGGCCAGGTACTGTAGTCGACCATGCCGGGCTGTTGACCTGTAGTTTAATAAAAAGAACCCGAGCCTTAAAAATCTTCCATTAAACAGTTTAAGGCACATCTGTTTGTGTGTTTATGATAAACCTGAGATTTCACTGAAAATGTAAATCATAGATGTGTTGAACTACACCAAGAAGTAATGGGTTATAGTAGAATAATATAAGTAAGCATGGCATTGAAGCTATAAAGTGAGTTATCACATACACTTGGTGATGCAACTTGCTGCGGTTTTAAGTGGCATTTGGATTTTTATCATTTCAAGAAAAACCTTTAGTTAAATAATCCACACAACATAAGCACAGAATTCACCCTCCACATTACCAGGTTCAACATCAGAAGTCCATCCTATTGTACTCTCAGTAACATAGATTCATCATCTTGTTTAAACTGCCAAACTGAAACACTAGAATGCGTTTGACTTTTAAATTTATTTCAAGGAACTCAAAAGCCATTTTTTAAATCTAAGGTAAGTGCAAGAGGCATACAATCTATCCTTGGGCTTCCACGAGTCTTACCACCAAAGAATGGAGTTCCTCTTTTCTTTAGTTCTGCATCAAACAACGTCAGGCCAGCGATGATTTTGGCTTCCTCATCTTCCCCACCGGACGTCATGAATTTGTGAAAAATTGAGCTAACCTGAAGATTGATTTAATGAGATGAATCAAACAATTATTTTCAACAACTTGACAGAAATCCTTATCTTATGGATCCTCTGCGACTGGTGATCCCCACAAATTTTGTTGTCTGATCTCCAACAGAATGATAGAAAATTACACAACCCAACACATGCACTCTTTTTGTTTTTTCAAATACAAATACGTGTACTACAGATATTTCCGCTCATAATGGCACTTTAAGTAAGGGGCAAAGGTTTGCCTATTCAGAAGACCAAATTAAATATTTCTTCGTTATTTTAGGTTTCTTATTAGCTGGATCGAGAGTTGACAACATAAGACACAAAAACAAATTCATTCAGGATCCATAACTTGTTGGGCCTTTTTCACAGCAAGGCATCAAGAGTAATATAGTTTTCATAAAATTGTGCCTCTGATAAAACTGCAAATTTACACCCTTGATTGCATGAAAATGTCTCCAGTATGTGTTTTTTTTGTTGAAAAGAGAACAATTGAAGTACAGAAAGGAAGTTACAGGATTTTGCTGATATTTCAATGGAAATACAGTACCTTTGAATCATAGGTTTCCATGACAAATTTGTCTTTAGCCTTCTGCAATGGATCTTTGGGGTAGAGAGGTGGATCAGGATAAATCTCATCTAGGTAGTCACAGATGATGCTGGATCCAACCAGGACTTCGCCATTGTGTTCGTAGACAGGCACTTTCCCATCAGGATTTCGTTCAAGGAGGAATTCTGGCTTTTTCGTCAGGCTGCAGTTAATTTCCTCATAACTAGAAATAAAATTTGAGATAAATTTAATTCTGAGCAGGATTATGTCATTTGTGCATGTCTGTCTATTTTTTAGCATCTTATTTTTCAAAGCCTGAACAATGGTGAACTCCTCAAAGCTATCACAACCACCATGATTAAAGAACTTGTCGGTTCATATCTTTCATGGCACATAATTATTTCACTCTGAGTTAGACAAAATAGGCCTATTGCATTTGCTTCAATCACATATTTTACATAGTAGACCCCAAAGATTCATATTTAGAATGCTTCAATCTTCGATATAATACATTTATTGGCCATCTTAGTGTTGGTCATTAACTTACTTGATTCCTTTGGCTTTCAGCACCAAGCGAGAACGCTGTGAAAAAGTACAGTATTTCATGCTGAAGAGACGAACAGATCCATCCTTCAGGGGTGGTAGAGGTTGACCTGTGAGTGTAAATAAATCACAAAACAACTACTGCACACAAAATCAACTGTCCATATGTTAACAGTCTGTGACTTTTTAACGCAACCTTGTATAAAATTTAGGCCTGTAATAGAGCTCATCAGGGACAAGGTAATGTTTGTTTTTGTACTTGAAGCACCACAGAGTACAGTTCAGCAGACTTTTTGTTTCAGTTGGATGCGAAGTTATGTGACCAATTTAAAATTTGACTTCCTTCCAAAGTGTGATTTCTACAATATTTCTTACGCTTTTTCCTACACGGGATAGTGGAGCTGAGGCTGTTATTATTGTTAGTGCATATTGGCATTATTTCAATCAAGTGAAAAACCTTGACCTGTCTTTAGACAACAGATTGGGATGCAACCCTAGCCTCAGAGAAACATGATATATGAGATTTACCATGTAATGAAGGTTTAAATTGTGCCGGAGACCGCCTTGCGCTTAGCAGTAAATGAATTAATTATTTTTTCTTTCGATAGTTATGATTCCATCTTTGAATGAGAATTCTTAATAATTCACAATGATTATCTTCTTAAATTCAGCTGCTGATAATAAGATCGTTTGCTTTCATTCTGTTGTTAGTCAAGTAGTGTATGTGTAGCATATGGACGGTGCGTTAGCTTGTGCATTGCACATGCTGGTACTCTGAAAACGCACAAGCCTCTAAACAAGGCTTTTGCTTTAGTGGCTTATTTTAATGTGTAACCAATAAAATCCACTGATTTGGGCAGTTTGCGTGCAGCATACATTCCTATAAAAGGCATTGGAGATTGGACTCTGGGCTCTGTTCCTTATACCAGGCACGAAGTGGGACAGTTCCCCCCCCCCTTCAACAAGCCCAATCCCTACACACTCCAGCCTTTTGTCCCTTACCACAGCCGGCGCTAGATCGTTAGATGTCTGAAAAGAATTCCTGAGATACCAGTATAACAATAGCCAACACAAAGGCGAGGGGGGGGGGTTCTCTCTGTCCCATAGTTCGCTTCATACGTAGTTCCTTCGCGTTGTAAGATCTAAAAAACCCAAAGATGCTCCAACAGGCCACGGTTAAAGCATAGAGCTGGGTTTGTAGCTCTGTGGTTAAAGGAACATAAAGCATTCATTTTTTTTCACTCACGCTGAAGTACATGATGCAAAAGCGTTTAATGACGCGCTGAGCCACAGCTAGCGGTGGAACCGTTGGGTTCTACAATTCAGTGAACTGGTTTATTGTTTGTAAATGTAGGGAGATAATTCTTTGAATCAGAAGAGGGTGCTGTGTACATTTTGTGATTATGACAGTGAGAGAGTGAGAGTTTTATAAAGAAACCTGCGGTTGTTATTATATTGTTAAAGGCAACCCTCCGTCTGAGCATGGAGGTAGAAACTATTTCTACCTCCATGGTCCGAACGAGTCAATATCCTAGAGTCGAATTGTCTATTGAAATCAACAGCGCAGTAGGTATTGTTGCGTTTTTTCTCAACGAGCCAGTCTCACCATGGAGGTAGGAAAAGACCTCCATGGTCTCACCGACTGTGGGCAAGGTCACCTCGCCGTAACCTTAACTATTTGCCCTGGCCCTTGAACTTGATTAGCAATCCAAGGTTCAGGGGTTAGGGAAATATGGAAGGGCTGCGTAGCACCGTAATCAGAATATCGGCAAGAATATAATATCAAATCAGTGCTCTGAAATATGTGATTGCAGAGATTTCGGTAACTGAGTACCTTTTTCAGGGCTTCTCTTATTTTTAGTAGGCCTATGATTAAGTACTCGAGTATGTATACAGTTTAGTCCTTTCATTTTTCATTTCTTTACCAATCTGTTATAATCTCTTTGTTAATTTTAAAGTTGTATAGTTTGTAGTTTATTTATACCTGTAACAACACAGGGCCCTTAAATAAGATATACAGAGAACGGTCCATGACACTGTATTTTGGCCTCCGCCGAGTTTTTCGGTGGGTGTTTATAGCAGCAGAACTACCGACACCGATCAAAGGGGCCAATTGTCTCCGCCACTTCAAGCTAATAGTTATCCGACAGCAAAAACGCATTGACTCCATGATCTATCTCAGTACGAGTTGTAACATCCGCTACACCACCCGTCAACCTGACATTCGAGACAGCATCTTGGAGTCACGCTACGACACTCTCCTTCATGATTATCCTGAACTCTTACGTCCGGTGTACGGGAATACGGACGTTAGACATAACGTTACTCATCACATTGAGACTCACGGACCACCCGTCGCAGCTAAACCACGCCTCTTCGGTCCAAATCGACACGCCTCTGCCACGTATCTCTGGTTGATCCAACCAGAGAAAATGCTGTATTGGATTTTAGTTATTACGAACTTTGTCAATCAGTACAAAAACCCCATGGCTTTGCCACCAGTAGCTCAAAGTGACCATAATTGTGTGATGTGGGAACCTGATATTAATTCCTTGAAGCCTAATCACTATCGCATGTCTATTATTCGCCCAATGAAAGACTCAAGTGTACGATCTTTTGCTAATTGGATTCAAAATCAAACATGGCAGGAAATAATTAGCACCGGCTCTTGTCAAGTTAAAACTGATGTTGTTTATGAGATGATCCGTAAACATGTTGATTTTTATTTCCCCACTAGAACTTTTAAAAAGTATCACGACGATAAACCCTGGTTTAATGATCGAATTAAGAAATTAATACTACGCAGACAAAAAAGCATTCAATAATGGAGATAGAGTCAGATATCGTATCCTCAGAAACCAGGTTACTCGTCAAATTATATCTGCTAAGCAGCTGTACTATGCTGGTCGAGTACGTAAATTAAAGAAAATTGACCCTGGAAGATGGCACAAAAAAAATTTGTAGCTGGTATTGATTCAAGTTATACTAAACTCATTGCTAACATCATTAATAATTATCTTGCCAACTTCTCTCAAACCCAGGAGCCTATTAATTTGAACAATTTACCTGCCCATTTGCTTAGTATGTCAGACCCTCCTGAAATCTATCTTTGGGAGATTTATACAGAACTTGGGAAGATTTCAGCGAATAAAACTGACGGTCCGGACAACCTGCCTACAAAGATCCTGAAATAATTTGCATACGAATTTAGTATTCCAGTTTCTGATATCTTAAATTCGTCATTTAAGCAGAGTGTTGTCCCATTCCAATGGACGCATGCTAATGTTCCGATACCGAAAGTTCAACCACCCACCTTGCAGAAACTCAGACCAATCTCTCTCACTCCTCTGCTTGCAAAGGTTGCTGAAAGCTCCGTAAGCAAATGGGTTATCAACTCAATTAATTCTAAATTGGACTTCAGAAAATTTGGCAATCGAAAAGGTATGTCCACCACTCGCTGTATTATCGATATCTATCATCATTTAATCTCTGGTGCAAATAGACCAGGTAACATTGACACATTAATATCAACTGACTTCAGCAAAGCATTTGATACAACAGACCACATGATAGCCATAAAGAAACTTATTGAGCTTGGGGTTTCCCCATCGGTTGTCAAATGGACTGCTGATTTTCTTACAGAACGTCAACAGAGGATCAGACATAAACATTCCTTTTCTGACTGGCAGACCTTGTCTGGGGGTGTTCCCCAAGGTACTAAACTTGGCCCGGTGATTTTTTTTGATTTGCATAAATATTGCTCTTGATTTCAGTCATAATAGATGTTGCAAATATGTCGATGACTTGACAATGGGGGAAAACCGTTTGTTCAATGAGAATAGTAATAATAAACTGACAAAGTAGAACTGGGTCACATGCTTGATCTCGCCCGTCAAATAGCAACTGGTCATCTCCACTTCACATGGTCCTCAAGAAACAACCTGGTGACTAGCGACCATGTGGAGACTACCGGGCGCTTAACAGTTCCACCGTGCCGGATCGCTATCTCATTCTTCATCTCCAATATTTTTCATCACATCTTCACAGCTGCACCATTTTCTAAAAAAACTCTACCGGTCACTATAGACCTATTCCTGTGATGTCACGATCGTGCTGATAATGGTTTGTGATGGTAATGTGCATAGTCAACAGAAGAGATAAACATTGTCAATAGAAGAGATAAACATAATCACCGCGGTAAATCACGAATCAAAAGACGATCATCCATCATCTTTTTCTGTAATGTGCATAGTGTTGTGATGGTAATTTACGTATTGAACATAAATTCCAAGTGTGCACCGTTCGCACGTGCGCTTGCATGTAGTTGAAGCTGGCCGTAGGAATACATGTGTGTGAGTGTGTACGTGTAAATGTACATGTATATGCAACCACCTTCGTAAAAGCGGTCCACAAGGGATGGTCTTGTTTACATTTAGCCTCATGGGTGAAAAGGGTCTATTTGATTATAGGGACAAAGACCAGCTCACACTGCACCGTGAGCAGTATTGCACAAGCTGGACAAGCATAAACCCACACCAGTCCCACGCTGTCTTAAAACATGCACAACTACATATAAATGGAAAAGTACGCACCATTTATAAACTTATGTTACACATATACCAGCAGACAGCAAGTCTCGCGCATTCTCTGTACCTATACATAAATGAGAATGCTGTCATCATTTAACTCAAACTTAAACTCGTATAAGCCATTTCGCCACAGTATCTTTCCCCGAAACCTCTAAACGCGGAGAAAGGGTTAATGTTGGCCTAGTTTATTCAAAGGAACCCCTAATTATTACAATATTAGCATTTACACCTTCAAACCATTTCTGTAATTAGTTTAATGTTTCTCAAGCCAATTTCTTTTTCCTCGGACGCAACCTTCTTGGAGAAATCTATGGAAACCGAAAAATTCAGAAGTGTGGCATTAAGGAAACTGGCCTTTTACAAAAATGCAAATGCAAAACTGAGAATTATACTAGCCAAATGTAAGACTCAGAGGAAACAAGCAAAACAAAATTGGATAAACCCAGATTTTAATTTCAAAGGAAAGAACACAAGATCAAAATGGCGAACATGGTTTGATTGTGACTAATACCCTCTCAACCATACTGAGTGCCCCAAACCCCCATTCTGAGCTTGAATCAAACCATAGAGGAGAATCAAACCGCGACGCCATGTCCATGACACAGGGGATGTGGGGTAAGCGAAACGATCATGGGCGTAAGCCTACCTGCTTCAAGGTGTTTTTCCGACATGCTGGCAATGTTCTACTGTACTCCACTGTTGCGCGATGAAAAGGTATGTCGGTAAATAAAAAGTAAAACACTGATACGGCGTCTATGACCGAAAATATGTCTTATAATGCAAAATGCTGATTCATCTATTGGGTCAGTTATTAGCTGTAGCAGTTTATCATGTTGATCTCCAATATAAAGACGATCAATGGCTTAACTGATATTGACTCAGTGGTCAGCCTCACATGGAGAAATCGGCAGTACTGTGATGATGTTGAATACATGTATTTATGATGAATCAGTCAACTGAGCATATCCACCACGAGTTGTGGCCTGGCCACCGGCCCGCGGTGCGATAGTCTTGACTGCGACATTGGACAGTAAAGACGTGTCCCTCGCGTCCGCGCTGCTGCTGCACTGGAGGCTCGCAGGTACAGAGCGCTTATACACAACATTGGCTATGAGGATGTAACACTGGAAATCCGGGTTTGAACTCAAAATATTGTCCGGTGGAAGTTGGGCGGAACGTTATTTGACAGTAATGAATGTATAGCATTCTAATATTGTATACAGTTTAGCATTTGTGTATTTTTATTTCCTTGTGTATTTTTCTTTACGTACGTTTTTATGTAAGAAACTATTCTGATGAGATTGCCGTATATGATCATGTAAGCCGTTACAAAATTTTTCTGAATCAGGAAAACACGATGGAGGAAGCAGATTTGTCCCTGTGTCCTGTGCGAGGATGTTCTTTGAAATTCAATAACATGAAACGCCATGTGACAAGGCATCACATAATTATGGTCAGGCAAATGGTGGTTTCTATATCCATGGAAAAGCTGTTGTAAGTGCAAACGGTAGGAAACAGCAATCCACGTGACAGGAACACGGCCCGTTTCAGATGGATGAGCACATTGGTCAGCTAAACAACCTTGTCTATGAATTCCTGTGCTTCATTACAGGAAAACTTAAACTGGGATCCCCACTCTGTCTCCCACAGTTTGAAGCTAAGAAATATCTGGACGACACTAACTCGTCATGTAGTGCTGAGAAAGTTCAAGTCTCCAACGCACCCAAAACGTACATATGGAAAGGCGCCTTGGAGATCAACAGAGCGGCGCACAGCACCGTTCACTCACCATACCAGCAGCTGCTTCTAGACTAAACTGAACTCTACCCATTGATCTCCACATGGAGATCAATGACCGTACCTTAACGCGCGCTGCATGGCATGGCACAATCTAGATAAATTATAACCTCGCACCAGTCCGGTCCCGCGCTGTATTACACAAGTCATGTACAACTTCGTGGAAAGCTGTTATACTTAACCCAGCAGACTTGTCTCGCGTATACTCTAGCTCTGCTCCTATCCGGTTCATAGATGTGACGTCACTTCAGTTTAAACCAAGCCCACTGCGCATAAACTTGCATGGAACCATGGAACGGGAAGTTAACTCACAACTATAGTGTTATGTCCACGAAGAGCCTGAAATCAGTGGTGCTGCCGCGCCGTATAATTATGATATGTATGACAAAGTCACTAACGAACCGGATACATAAATAAGAATGATGTCATCATTTAACTAAAACTTAAACTTGCATAAGCCATTTCGTCACAGTATCTTTTCCCGAAACCTCTAAACGAGAAGGGGTTCAGGTTGGCAAACTTAATTCAAAGGAACTCCGAATCGTTAAAATATTATTATTCTAGTCACGCCATTTCTGCAATTAGTTTCTTGTTTCTCATGCCAATTTCCTTTTCTAATTACGAACCAAACATGTACCTACACATGTATTTATTAGATTTTTTTACCTCGCAACTGGATGTGGGGAGACAGGTCTTTTGACCATAGTTATTTTATTACTTTTGCGTTTCCTATGCCCATCCCTTTGTGGTGTACGTTGTTGGCATGAACAAAATAATAATAATGATAATATTAACAACAAACTGGGGAAACAGAACACCTTGACCTTGATTCAGATGTGTGTTTCTGTTTCAGTTTTGACTTACATGCTCGGACTCTACCTTCTTGAAAAAAAATACACATACGAAACTGATAACTATGATTAATACTGGACAAATGTTGAATTAAACAAGCGAAACAAAATTTTGTAAAGCCTGTATAGATGCCAACTGTAATATGTTTTACATGCATAACAACCTTTACATTTTAATTTCAAAGGATAGAACACAAGTGCAAAATGAAGAACATTGATTTGATCGTGACTGATCATGCGAAACGATCATGGGCGTACTAGCCTACCTGCTTTAAGGTGTTTTTCCGACATGCTGGCAATGTTCTGCTGTATTCCACTGTTGTGTGATGAAAAGGTACGTGGGTAGAGAAAAAGCGAAACGTTGATACTGGGCCTACGACCGAAACTATGTCTTATCACGAGTGGAAAATGCTGATTTATCTGCTGCATCGGTTATCCGGTTCGCATTGAATATGACGTCACATAAGTTTAAACCACAACCACATGCACTGCACGTGACCGGAAACGAACCGGATGCATCGCGGCGCGTCCGTGTATGACGAAATCACTTCCGAACACGTATGTTTCAGAGGGAAATTATGTCCCATTTTAGGGCTATTTACATACGTAATGAGGGCCATGAGATTTTGTGCTAGGCAAATAGTTGCTTCGTTTCATGAAACGTACGTCTCATTTTCACGTTTTGGAAATAAAAATACCTGCCCAAAAATATTTTCATGGTAACATAAGGCCTTTTCCCAACATATTTTGTGAAAATAAAATCGAGAAACAGAAGTGTGGCGAAAATCGCCAGGATGTTTAATATTAGTGGACTTTGAAGGGAACAGCGTTGAGATAACCAACCTTAAGTTGAATGTCATGGATGCTTAAGTTTATCTGGAGACTTGTGCCAAAGTAATCACATGTCTAGGTTCTGATCTTCCACGATTTCTTCATGTAGTAGAACACTCTTTATTATGATGAATTTACCACTTTTATTGTTGCAGTCGACGGTGACCCTACATGCTGTACTATACTGTACCAAGGTATTGCAGTCATGCGTATTGGTGAGTTGTTACAGGCTACTGAAGACATGTTGTAGATTTAGCCTATCGGATGTCGTGGAACTTGGAGTGTGTAAATAGGTTGTGTCTGAAACGTACGCACTGAGATAAAAAGTACACGAGTGGTTGTACGTGTGCGGGGCCGGGGAGTTCTGGGTGGACGGTAGAAGTAAGTTTGAGAACAAGGGTCAGTTTGAGGATCACGTTCAATCAATTCTGGATCACGTTTCACATTTAATAGAGCCTGAAAGTTGACCCCTGATGATGCGTGAAGATTTTAGAATTTTTAATATTTTTTTCCCCTTCAGTTACTTCTTAAAAACTCCAACTCGGAAAAGTGGCATTGGGAAATATTTGCTAGTATATCAATTTATAGAAACTAAAAAATCACCTGACCTAAAAGAGAAATATCCTGCCAAAAATTAACCCATCACTTCCGAAAATCTAAATACATGAAAACAGTGCAATGCGCCAGTCTCGAACACAGTTTGAAATTTTATGGTAGTCTGTCGGTAAAAACAGATATAAAAACAGATCAAAATATTTTAAACAGTCTTATAATTTATAAGTAGTAAACCTAAAGCAATATTCTACTTCAATTACGAAAGATGCTGATCTTTTATCTAACCTTTGCTGACAACAACTGCATGATGTCAACTCAACGGAATCTGGAACCTATCGACTGCAAGTAGGTAAATCTTTGCAACGTTGTACAATCCCCTTTTCACGTAAGCACGGGCAGTGAAAACAAACGTGCACGAACATGGAGACCTAGGTATGATATCACCAGAAGTGAAAGGTCGTTAATTCGTTTTTTACATATCTCAATGTAACTTTTCCTAAATATTACTTGAGGAAGACAAAGGTAAAATTCCAACATGAATGTTTCATGGGATGGTATCAGGAATTATTCTTCCCAAAATTATCGAACGTGATAGGACGACCCAACGTTAAATCCCCATAGGAGGACCGCGCAAGGGTTCCGGAAGCTCGCTGTGTGACCTTTTACTTTCAGGCTCAGCTGAGATGTGAACCAAAGATCGTATAGCACCGCGTAGCAACGCACAACCGGGACAGCAACATAACCTGACAGCACGTTTGGCTGCTTGTCCCATCCCAGGGCGGGAGCGGCCGTGTATTCACACATACATTAATTTTCCAGGGCGGAGCATTATTATTACTTTCGTACATGAAACGAGTCAGTCTTACTTTTAATTGTTGCTAGAATGTACAGCCAAATGGCCATCCTCACTACGCTTGGAATTAATTATACGCTACCGTTGTATTGTAATGCTAGAGAAGTCAATGCTCACGACACACTGGAAGATACTATTACTGTAACACTACTTTTAACTATTCTGTAAAATTAATAGAGGGCGCTGTTTCACTGTTCAAGACTTCTGAGAGACTGTGGCAATAAATCACACGGAAAGTGTTTTTTTCATGGTTGAGAGGAACCCATTCCATGACAGTCCTGTTCTCTCTAGTAACAATTCCGCTGAATTTGTACTCGTCAACCGAAATAATAACAGCCCCAGCGCCCACATATCATGACCCATCGGTCGAGTTCGGGCGGCTTGTTCTTGACACTGGTTTCTTGTTCTCGCGCTAGAACAGCGCGAACACGACTGAAGAACACTGTTCTCGACGCAGGATCACACACCACCTCCTCGTCAGGGTTTTACAGGAACACACGGTAAAACATGTGAGATTTTATTTTGTTCAGCTGCAAAAAGTAGAGAGATGGCTTCTAAAGTCACAGACAATGGGAAGTTTTGCAAAATTAAAATTAATTATTTTCCATAAAACAGAAATGAATGTTCCTGTTTAATTAAAACAGAAAAGAATTCAGCCCATCCAAACATTAACTCTCGAATAACGCACATGGCTGCCGCCATGCTGCATGTTGCTTGCCACTAACTACCAGCCCCGGCGTTCGACCGGCCGACCCGGTACCCACGAACAACCAATCGATTTGTTCGTGAACATACGAAAACAAGTTAAGCCGCGCGAACTCAGCCATCTAGCCTGGCGATTTGCTCATCTAAGATTGGCACCCTAGCAGCGCGGGCCGGAGTCGTTACAGTACAAAACTAGTGATTTTTGTGTAAAGCTCTTTTCGTGAGTGATAGTTTCTTTTACGTTTTGGTACGATTTTTTGAAGGCTTGAAAACAAAGAATTCGAAGTTTTCCTGAAGTTTTCAAAAGTGGACTGTGGTGGAAAAAGGAGTCAAGGTTTTAGATTTGTTGGCGGTTTTCCGCTAGATTGTTTTCTCTATTCCCGACAGCATGCGTTTGCATATCGACCTAACTTAGCACCGATTCCATTTATCCAGCAATAATCGTACGGCCTTGCGAGCGTATGACGGTGACTCGGAAACGAAAGGGGAACACAAAAGTACAATGTACAATAAATTAACATGAAGCTTAATATTGTGTCTGTTATAACACTGCCAGGAAATGTTGAAATTCACGGTACATGTACATGTATATATCTGCAGTTTAACATGTATGTACACCAGCTCTGACTCACAATTTCCATGTAGATGTACACGCACATAACTTTACACATTTCCACATGTGCGTCGGTAAGGTACGCGTGTAATCCGCTTCGAGCGGAACAAAGGAAGAGCGTGTTTTTTTTTGGTTTTTTTTGCCCTCACCGCATAGCCGCGCCATGAGGCACGCAAGTATATGCGCATTTGACGCCGGAGTACACTGAGTACGCCTAACTATGGTGTACTATTTACGACAAACATCTCTCTCTCTCTCTCTTTAGCCTCCCTCCAGGCAACGCAATTACACGACACGACGGCTCCCTTGCGTCGTGCCGTCGGGTCGCACAGTCGCCTTCTTTCCATTACGTTTGTACATACACAGCGGGTCGCGTCGTGCCTCGCGTTGTGCCCTCGCCCGTCCCGTCGTGGTGTCTTCTGTCCTTTCCATGTTGCATTTTTCCGCTTAAACGTCGCCCCTTCCGTCGTCCCTCGCGTCGTACTTCAGGCGACGTAAT